AGAGAGAGAGAGAGAGAGAGAGAGATCGATGTTACATTGATTCTACCCTCATTACCCCAGTTATTCTATTATACCTGCTTGTCGCGTCTATTGATTCCAGGTGTAATTATTTCACCGGTCCCAACCATGTCATCAGAGGTGAACGAAAGCTGGATCATGAAGATGACTTGTTCTTCTTGACACAATTAACCCAAAAAAAAATTGAAAGAAGGAAAAGAATTCAACACCTCTAATCAGCACGATTACCACTGACATACTGAGGTACCCAGGGGTTGTATTTAGAATATCTGTGAGGCATGGTGGTGAAATCAGGCGCTGGACAAAATGATGAAATCGAAGAAATGAATATTTTGCCACCCGATTGGCAATTTTCATCGAATTTTGGGGGTTTTGGGCGGTTCAACACCTTTTTGTCAATTGTAAATCCCATTCACTTGTGGATTTGTACTGAAAAACTATGTTCAAAGGCACAAAAAAGTAAACTTACACTTTCTATGGACACTCGAGCTATGAAAATCACCAAACTTTCACGACCGACAATTTCTCGCTCGTTTTTCCTCTGAAATCAGGCGACCTCCACCTCCTTCAATCACAATTATATTGACTTCTTAGATGGGTATTTCTTTTATTCGAAAACAAAGCAAATTAAAAAGCTTTAAGATGATGTAAATGACCAAAAATTTGCCACTCCATTGATCTTATGGTAGGAAAGATCTACACCTAGCCGTCTCGGACAAGGTCGAAAAATCTCGGAGGTCCCGTGTGCAAGTTGCACTCGTTAAAGATCCCTTGGTAGTGCAAAATAAGTAAGAGTAGGCTTCGGCCGCCACTCGGGCAAAAGTCAAAATTTCCTACGAACTGAAAATGTTTAATGTGTTCCGCGCTTATGTAGTTGAGAGCGCCGTAAAACACTTCACACAAAAAATGTAATCTGCAAAATCGTCTTATGATGAGGTTTTGATTTAACGCTCCTATCAACACTGTTAGGTGGCACCTCCAAGTTTAACGTCCATCTCTGAAAGGACAGAGCCAAATGGGAATTCCGTGTAAAGTGCCTTTCCCAAAGACAACGTCGGGCCGAGCTGACCCTCGAACCCACGAACCCTCAATCTGACGATTACTCGTTGGGTAGCTTAACCTCTTGGCCACCCTGTCGTGACATAATAGTATTTATTTGACGTTGCACTAAGCGACGTACAATTAAGCTTAGTTTAGTTCTTTTCGGGGTTGATTTAACTTGGGGGGGGGGGGGGGGTCTGGGAATTGTCTTTACTTTATTGACTCTCTTTGGCAAAGAAAATGGAATCATCACCAAAATGCTAGACGAGCCATCTTTTCACGCCCTCATATTTTTAGCTTTCATTTTATGAAGGCAAAAGCTTCAATACATGATGACGTCATTCACCAAAGGAAGGTGTCACGTCGTCATGGTGACCCTCAAATCCCTCCAGCCAATGAGAACGCAGGACGGAATCGACGTCACTCATGGATTAAACCATTGATGACCCTAATTCTAATTCCAAACGGGCATTCTTAATTCAAGGACACGTTCAAAGTTCTCATCTTTAATTGGCTCGGCTCGGCTCATTCTTAACAAACTTTGTTAATTTGGAGACCCACCTCGTTTACATCCTCTAGTGTATTAATGCAGTGTTAACCTCAAACCCAATCTCGTTAAGACGTATTTAGGACAGCGGCTAATACAAAGTCCTTGAGGAAAATGTTTGATTTATTGCGGTCATTTTTTTTAGAAAATTGGAAAGATGCTAATTTTTCTGGTCTTATAATGCTAGCAAACACGACTTAGAACTTAAAATGGCCTTTAAGATATGGACCATATTATTTTGAAGTATGTTCGGTTCTCTTATAATTAGGAGGAATACAACACTTAGATTTACAATGTTATGTTAACGTAATGCTTATTATCTGTGTGCTCTCGTGCGTTCGCGTGCGTGTATTAATATATATATATATACATACATAATATATGTGAGTGAGTGTTTGAGTGTGTATGTGTTTGAGTATGTGTGTGCGCGTGAGAGCATGTATGTGAATGCATTGTGCTCCCTCTGTGCGTGTTTGTGTGACTGCACATGCTCGTGCGTCTATGTGGGTCATGTGTATCCAGAGAAGGAGACAGATGTGCACTTACTTCTTCTGTTACCCAAGTATACATATCGACAAAGTCGCGAGCATCTATATCACTGCATGCTCCCCCCCCCCCCCCTGGGCCACTTTCCACAC